TGGAACAAAGCAGCACTGAGAACAATGTAGTTCCAGAGGGAAATAAGGACTTAGGAGCACTTGGGATATTTTGGCAAAGAGTCTGGCTGGAGTCTGCCCAAAAAGCTTGCCTGAGGCTAAAGTTGAAAAGTAATGGACTAATTTCTCTGGCAGAAGAAATTTCAAGACAGCCTAATGTAGAAATGGTAACATGGATATTAATGGTGAATATTATACAGATCTACAGAGAAAAAGAGCAAATGGGGCAGAAAGAAATGCAGAATGTACAGGATGGATTGAAAAAGAGCACTAGGAAGATAAATGTTGGAGCCTTGGCATGTGCTAGAGAGGATCCCTTTGATAAGGAGATTAAAGTGATTAAGGAGGGGCCTAGAGGTTTGAACTTAAACAATGGAGAGAGTGCCTCCAGGGCAAGACCACACCCAGTTAAACCTCCAACGTGTGAAAGGAAAATGCTGCAGAGACCACTGAAGAGAAAAGCTTCTAAAATGGATAAAAGGCTGGTGTCAACCCCAAACTTGCAGTCACACTTGGCAGTGTGCTGGTGCTGACTTTAGAGGCATGACAGATGGAAGAGTGAAGGAGTCATCAGTTCTTCCTCCGAGGTTTCAGAGAGCCTCCGAGGCCAACGCCAGGTAGTGTGCAGCAGGGGTTCCCCTGCATAGAGAAGGCCCTGAAAGGCCACTGTGTGAAGCTGTGAAAGTGAAGCCTGGTTGGCAATGGAGATTCCCAAGAAGACGTTCATGATGCTAGAGCTGTGAGGCATCTGCCAAGAAGACCAGGGAGTGGTACCAGACCAAGAGAGATGAGTGTTGCACACAGCGACACTGGAGGGGCCGAGCCATCTAAGCCCTTTGGAAGTAAAGTCCCAGAAGTCAGACGTGGAGCTACCGGATTTGGTGTTTGCCCTGCTGGTTTTTGGTCTCGTTTTTGGTCCAGTATTTCCTTACTATGCTTCTACTCCTCCCTTTTAGAATAGTAACGTGTATTCGGTTCCACTATGTGTTGGAAGTATGTAATTTGTCTTTTGATTTTATAGGGGCTTACACTTAAGGTATTTCCCTGAGTCTCAGAAGAGACTTTGGACTGTGGACTTTTGAAGAGTATTGAGACTGGTAATGACTACAGGGACTTTTAAAGTTGCACTAAATGCATCTTGCATTTTATATGGTCATGAGCCTATAGGGGTCAGGGGGTGGAATGTGGTGGTTTGAATGAAAATGTCCCCCATAGGCTCCAAGTATTTAGACATTTTGTCCCCAGATGGTGGTGCTGTTTTGGGAGGTCCTAGAAGGTATGGCTATCCTGGAGGAAGCAAGTCACTGGGGTTGGGCTTAGAGCGTTCTTAAGCCTTGCCAGATCTCCAATTGCTCTCTTTCCTTCCTGTGCCTGCCTGAAGATGTAGAGCCTAGCTTCTGCTCCTCCTCCAGCCACCTTTGCCTCCATGCCTCCCCTCCATGATGGACTCTTGCCCCTTGGAACCATAAGCTCAAATAAACTCTTCCTTCTATAAGTTGTTTTGGTCAGTGTTGCTAGCACTGCAACAGAAAAGTGACTAATACAGCACCAAAGAATGCAGGACAGCTGGTCTGTAAGATCTTCCAAATATGTTCCACACATGCTTTAGTCTTGTGGGGTAAGAGCAACCATTGTCCCCACTGTATAGCTGGAGGCTCAGGAGGGAGCTAAGCAGGCACTTGTCCAGGGTCAATCAGGTAGACACTAAACTCTGTGTTCTGAATTGTGGACTGCATTGCTCCTTTGGAAAGAGGGCTTAGGGAACCAGACTACATGTGATCAAAGCTTTTCCCCAGGACACAAAAAGTGAACAAATGGTCCCACAACACCAAGTGCTTCAAGCCTAGGCCCATCTGACAGCTGTGAAGAACCAAAAAGAAAAAGGGCCACAACACCAGTCGCCTGAAATACACATGGCATGCTTGTTGCAAAATACATACTTTATTTGTATCTGTTAGTGCATGTTGAGCAGGAGCTCTATCCTGTAATCCAATTTATACAGCATCACATGGGACTAGCTATCTTGGTCATGGGATATCACTGCCTTCCTCAGGGAAACCATGAACACTTCCGCAATTTGAAGGCAATGTAAATTAGCCCAAGGAACGGTGCCCTCCTTAACATCACTCCCAAAGAACACACGGCTCCCTTCTTTATAGTGAGTTAGACGTAGTAAGTTTGAGTTTTAGCTGGCTTCTGAGCTTTGGCCCTAAGTCCTCCAAGCCCCAAAGTTTCCATGGCAACAAAACTATTACCATGTCTTTCACTCCCATTTTCTTCCAGTCTCCCAAGTATCCCCTGGGATACGCGAGGGCCAACAGGACAGGGCTGGGCAGGCTGATGATAGCATCCTGACATCATCTTCATCACCAGCCAACTTTCTAGACCCAGTTGAACAGAAATCCTGTATGTCCCCTAGAAGCACCTGTCCACTCTCAGTAAGGCTGGCAGTTTCTCTGACCCTTTGTCAGTGTAGGCTCTCAGGCACGTGAAACTTAAAGATACACCCTACCATGCCAAAAAGAACAGAGATCTTATTTCTTATTCAGTCTGTCAGCCCTCAGCCCTAAACTAACCATCAGAGCTCAGGCCTGTGGAATGAGGCTGAGGTGCTTCCTGTGGTCAGCATGGGTCAGGCGTCCTCAGAGGGTCCAGTACCACAGGCAGGCCCAGTACCTCACTGCAGACTTGAGTATTGGCTGGGCTCAAAAGTTTCTAAACAGAGAGCACAGGAGACACTGGCATCTGGCTTTATAAACAGGTGAGAAAGGCCTGTCTCTGTACCGCCCCCGCTACCCAGGTTCTGTCCATATATTTGGACAGCAAGTCTCACCTGCACACAGTGACCCCTATTCTTCAGTCACCTACTCATTGTCCATGCTCTTGGAGCTGGCTAAACAGACTCTAGCTTGGCACCTGCTTCCTCTCCTCAGTGGCTGGATCATGAGCCCGGGGACAGGGGAGGGACATATTCAGGAAGTCCGCAGACTCCTCCAGCTGCTGCAAATGCTCCAGAGTTCTGCCCCCGGCCACATGGGCAGCATTCCTGGAGATGAAGCAAATGGAACCACACTCCCAATGTGAAAGCTAGCACTGTGCACTAAGGAGGTCTGCCAGTAATGCTGTCAGTGGAGTGCAGAAGTGGGAGAACTCCCGGCCTGGGCTTCTCCAGGCACTGTAAAACTCAGGCAGCTGGTGCAGAGGCCACTAGCATAGACACTCAGTTCAGGATAACCCTCTGCTCTTGTGAGATCCAGCACTAGCCAGTGCCTCTAGTCACAGGGCTCTGGAGCTGCATCCAATGATGGGCAGCAAATCCTGTCTGCCTTACTACACTCTGGGCAGCAAGCTGGCAGTCTGGAGACTGAAGAAAGCATGTGCCTGACCACCATCTGGGTCTCCTTCCAAACCTGAGACCAGGTTTCTCAGAGCTGGGAAGGGTCTGACACTTGGGTTGATACCTTACAGCTCTGTATTCAGAAGACTTTTCAAAGTTGACTTTCCCCTGCAGGCCCTCAGGGTATCATTTGGCCTTCAATCAGGAAGAAGTTCTGGGACACTGCAAGAGGTGCTGGTCATGGTACAAAGGCCTGGAAGCATGTGCCACTCCATTGTCTTTCTGTGGGTTTTGTTTAATGCCAAGGGAACCCTTATGCCACTTGCAGATCAAGAGCTCTCCTGGTCGGCGGCCCCAGGTCTGAAAACCTGTAACCTAGGGACAGCAGGGTGGAAATGGTGAGGGCTTCCCAGGGAGGCCAGGCCTTCCCATGGAGGCAAGTCTTAAAGGTTTGAGCGCCATCTTCTGGTCAGTGTTTGGTTTCTAAGCTGACTTGCTTTTAAAAACATTTACTTCAGAATGAGAAGATTCCCTAGCTGGTGACCTCAAATTATTTGCATATAAAATGAGGGTGGGTTTGGCTGGGGTGGGCTGGCTGGAGCTGGAACCCAGTTGTGGAAACTCTCCAGGGTTGCTGACAATACACAGACGCCTAAGGGCAGCTCACACAGCAGACAGGGTTAAGTTCCTACCTCTTGCCTTTTAGAAGTTGGCCAGCTGCCCCAAGGTAACACAGCACAGTTCCACTGTAACCAAACTGACCCCGCTCTGCACATGGCTTGCATGTGGCCGCAGGACATGTGCTTGGAAGAAGAAGTGGGCTTATCTCTGACAGCCAGTGACTTAAAAGTGAATGACCAAATTGGGCATTTTCCTCTGTAGGGGGCCAAGCCACACAAAAGGGAGGGAGCCCTGCCTGATGGGCAAATACTGCGCTAGCCCTCTTCAACCTTTGGGCTTCCAAGAAAGGAAGATAAATGCAAGCCCGTCTCTCCAAGCAGCAGGAACCAACATCTATCTAATTGCACTTCCAACCAGATTCCACAAGCCATTAATTACCAGATTATATTTTAGGAACTAAAGATAAAAGGCTCGGTAAAATTCAGACTTGAAAAGATCACTGACCTGCAGTAAGCACATAGCCAGCAGCAGCTCGGAGAGCAGGCCTTGTACATGGGCCAGCCCAGCCGGTGGCAGCAGGGCCAGGGGCCACAGTGGATGCTTCTCATAAGCAGGCACAGCTTGCTCCAAGTGCTGATTCATTAGCACTATCACATGCTCCAAAGGAAGCCAGCAAGAGGCCTCCAGGCTGGGGAGAGGTTTCAGCCTTGATTAACAGAAGGGGAAGGGGTGGGGATAACAGGGAAGCGCTCAAGGAATCAGCTATGAAGAAGATGCAGGAAGACAGAGACACCTTTCAGCTGGATGGCCTCACAGGATGCCGCCCCCCGCAGAAACACTTTGCTTCAGGAAGGGCTGATGACTGAGCAGGAGGGACCAGGCATGGCAGTGAGGGCTTCCTATGTTGTTCACACCAATGCCTGGCCTGCTGCCATACTCCTGGTGCTCACACTGGATGCAGAGGCACCTGAGCGTAGGGAGGACTTACACCCCTCACTGACTGGCAGGGGGGGGGGGGGGGGGGGGGGGGGCGGTGTAAAGAAGGAAAAGTGTGCCAAGCTGGGGTGCCTGGAGGCTGTGCTGGTGTTTCCCTCTCATTTTTAAATGCCCATAGGCACTGGCAAGTGTTTACAGACCGTCTGTGAGCTCAGTCTCCCAGCTAACTGCCCTGCTGCTGAGGGCAGCTGGCATGCTGTGTCTCCTTGGCCACTCTGGTCACTAGCTCCCATCTACTGCTCCTTCAGACTCTCATTTCAGAAGCTAGACTTCACTGGAGGTGAGCTGTAGCCCGTGGGCTAGAGGCTGTTGGCCATGAAGGATGGACCGTTGGTGTTAGAGTGGATGGCTCAGACATTTGGGGTCCTAGAATGACCAGGCCTCCGCTGGTTTTCCACATGAGAGCGCAATGGTGGTGCTGAGCCGAGCAGCTCACCGCTCAGCATGGCAGGAAGGGTGGAGTGCAGGCTGCTGGCTTCCTCTCCGACACAGATTGCCTCCACTGGAGGAGCAGCCACTCACTTGGCCTCACCACAGATCAAGGTGACAGTGCCATCCAACAAATCCTCCACAGTCACTGCCACAAGCTCAGAGCTGGTCTGAGAGGTCTGTGAATCTGGCAATGTCACAAACACCTGCGAGCCAGCAAGCTGGGTTTCCTCTAAAGTGATCACCTGCTCATTCGGGGCCACTGGCTCTGGAGTTTGGATTACCTGATAGGAAAGACAAGAAGGCTGCTCTGGGCAGTGTCTACAGAGAGTGCCCAGCATTTACATGGCTCCCATCCCACACTGTAATGATGATATTTATGTTCTTGCCCGAGAAGAACAATTACTTACACCTAACAGAAAGAGGGGGAAGTCTTACACACCAGCAATGCAAAAGAGAGGCAGGCAAACAATTTAAATAACTGCACTAAATTGCTATAATTTTGCTCAGTGCGCTATCTCAGGGGCACAGACTCTATGATTACACCCCAGCAAACGGTGGCTCAGTGGCTCGCTCACACTAGCTTTTTCCGTCTTGAGGATGACACTGCAGAACTAAGTGCCTTGTGAAGGGAATGCCACCAGAGCAGTTGGTCTTGGCTTAGATTAAGGAAATGGGTGACTTACCTGAGCCTGTCTCCCCTACCCCATCAGGCAGTACCCCTAAAGCTCTCTGGGCCTGAAAGCCTTCTTGTAGTGTCAGGCTTAGGAGGAGAAAGTAGCTCAACTGTGGCTTCTAGCACCTCACTCATTGGGCTCAGCAGCTAGTGGAGCAGGTGCAGGGCTCTGTCCCCTCCACGGGCCAGGACTGCCCTTGAAAGCCTGCAATCTGCTGCTGCTGGCCTTCCTGGCTCTAAGAGTGCTCATCTGTGGTTCCTGCTGAACCTCTAAGCTGATGCTTCTGACACCTTGATGCTTCGACATTTTTAAGCCAGTGTGTCTCGAAGGGCACAGCCCTGCAGTAGAAATGAGATCAACTATGGTGACCAGTCAACAGGTATCGGGAATGGTAGTTTTAAAACAGCTTTTGTTTCTTTTAGGGCTGGTGTCTTCGCCTACCCAAAATAGACACCTTACCAAGAACCTTCATTTTTTAGGAAGGATAAAAGCAGAAAAATAGCCTGGGTGGTCTGACAGCAGGAATCACCTGGACTCCTGCCCCTGATTTGCCCTCTATTCCCCAGAGGCTGTGGAAGACAACTGGCTTACAAATAACTGGTTTGTACACCTGGACAGTAAGACAGCTTGACGGAGAAACTTCCATCTGCTTATAGTCCCCTCCACTCTCTCTACAAACCACTGACAACCAGAAGTCAGTTATTTTCCTTTTCTACTGCCCTCTAGAGAAGACAGGAGAGTAAGAAAGAAGCAGGAACAGAGAGGCTGAACGGAGCTTGACCTTCTCACACCAAGGGGTGGGCTTTGAGGTGAACTAGGTAAGTGATGGCACAGCCTGCCCAGATCTGTACCATATCCCGAGGGTCTACCTACGGCTTACCTGCTGGTGACCCTGCCCAACAAAGAATGCAAGAATGCAGCCACCATTCTCCAGGGTCTCCTGACCCCCGCCCTCCGCCCCGCATCCCACAGTGCTTTGCAGAAGCAGAAATACATGAGTTGGGAGGAGAAACCAATGCTGTTCCACTTTTGCAAATTTGTGTTCTAGGTTTAGTCCCCTAGGGGCCACCAAAAGACTAGAACTTTCTGTAGTTTGGTAAGTGGTCCAGAGGCTTTAAGATCACGAGAGTATTACCTGAAGGATCCTTTAAAGAGCCCCATAGAGTAAGACTGTGTGTTGGGATAGAGGTGGCCCGAGAGAAGCCCAGGAAACCCACGTTCATGTTCTATGCACCCAACAGCCCCAAAATCACCTGCACCATCTGAGAGGTGGTTGCCTGGGTCTCACTGCCCGTCACCTTTGGGTGCTCAGACTCCAAGTGGCTGTCAAGCTGGGCCTGGGAGGTGAAGAGCTCCCCACAAAGCTCGCAGGGGAAGGTGCTCTCTGATTGCCTGAAGTGCTCTGTAGTGACATGGTGCTGCAGTGCTCCGGGGAAGCGGAAAGTGGCCGCACAGTACAAGCACCGGAACGGCTGGGTCCCTGGAGGAGGCAGAAGAGATTATCCGACTGTGGCAGAATGAATGACCCAGAGCAGGGGAGATAAAAGTGCAGCAAGGATGGCAGAGTAGGTGCAGAGTGAGGTTTCGTGGCACCTGAGGGTTGTACAGCTGGAGGGACCCTCCTAATAACACGGCAAATACAGAACTGGATGCAGGTGAGGGGCCCTCCAACTAGTGCCACTTGCATGAGACTTCGGCTAAATCTCCTGTGCTGATGCCTATGCTATTCATTGCTATGCCCATGGAGAGCAATGCAATGAGACTGCATTTCCGCAATGCGGGGAAGCACATCTTTTTTCCCCCCTTTGGTGCTGGAAATTGAACATGTGCTAGGCAGGCAGCCTATCACTGAGCTGTAGTCCTAACCTTCAAGAAGCACACCTTAAGACTTCTAAATGGGATCAGTGGTACCAACTGCTGTGGGCTAGCCTGCAGTCAGGTGCCATCAAAAATGACTGTGCACACACGGACACCCAGGCTTGCAGGACAAGAGTCAAGGGTTTAGAAGAACACCCCTAAGGTGGGGTGTGCACACTTTTCCCTCCCAGGGACCTAGTAGGCTAAGATGGAGAAGGCAAATGGGAGATTCGCTACATTCCGAGACCAGGAACCAGAAGCAGTTCAGCTTTGTCAATTGTCCAAGTGACCAACCCAATGGTTTTCTGTCCTACAGCTCGTGCCCCACATTGATGCTCTGAGGGCAGAGTAACACGGGAAATACATGTGCGCCTACAACTGGGACCCAAGCTACTCTGAAGCTCCAGTCTTCACTATTTTTTGTTTTCCTTTTGATGTATGTACTTGAGTGATATGATAAAAATCATGTTAAGACTAAACCCCTAGAATAGCTCACAGATTCTAAGTGCTAAGAAAGCACAATTTAATTGGAAGCACTTCTCCTTCTCCATGGTTCATTAAGAATGATGCAATTTCTATTTGATGAAATACAGCAACAGTGACAGCGGTGGCTCTCCTACAGGTGGCTACAGGTGCCAGGCCTGAGAGTTTTCACAGTTATCCTATGAGGCTGGCACTAATGTTCCTTGTTCCAGATGAAATGGACGCATGGCCCAGTAAAAGGATTTGGGCTGGGATACAGAGCTGTGAATGGCAGAGTCAAGACTCACACACCACTGCTGGGCTCGGGGAGTGCACAAGGGCCACTGACCTGAATGCTGGCACTTGATGTGAACTTGTAGCAGGGCTGGTGTGGGGAAGAGCTCCTTACACTGGTTACACTCGTGGAACTTCAGATCTGTGGAATGTGAGAGGAAAGAAGTAGTGGCAAGGAACAAAAGGAACAGAGCTAGAGGGGAACAGAGCTGGGTGGGGTGAGGACTCATACTCTACATGCACCTGCCAGTTGGGAGCCTGTATAGGGAGAGATTTGTGTAACCTGGTGGTAAAGAGCACGGATTGGGTCCAGATTCTCTGGATGCAAAGAGGTTTGTGAGAATTAAGTGACAAACTACACAGAGTGTTTGGCTGGTGCCCTGCACAAGGAGATACTCTGTAACTGACAGCTGCTATGATTATCCCCAAATGTACCTGCAAGGAGGTATTAATAACTCCCATTCTGAAGAGAAGCAAACATCTCAGAAAAGAGATGTCACCTGGCAAGGTCATGCAGCTGCTAACTGCTGGAGTTACGATTGCTACATGGACCTGTCTGCTATGAAAGCTGACATCCTTCCCAGGTGCTGGCTGGGTCTCATGAGGACTGCTAGGAGGTTACCCTGCTCTATGCTTAGGGACTAGAGAATCACTGCCACTTAAGCTCCTCCACTGAAGGACAAGATGACATCTAGCCCCTCCCACATGCTTCCTCACCCTCGGCTGTACCCCAGCTTTACCGGCGTGCTCCGCTTTGATGTGCTTCTTGTGTTCAATGGTGCTGGAGAAGGTCTTGTCACAGGAGCTGCACTGGAGTGATGAGAACTTGGATGACCGATGGTTCTGAGCAGCAAACACATCTGGGTGGTGGGTCCGATTGTGGTACCACAAGCCAGACAGTTGCTGCAGGGAATTTGGCAAATGTTAGGTCTTAGAAAGTTTTAGCAAGGCCATGTGGGGAGGAAGGTGGCTTGTTGGTCTGAGATAAATTCATAGATCTAGAATCATGCTAATGCTAGAGGCTGGTGTTGGTAGGAATAAGCAGCTATGCTCATGGAGAGGCCAATATGGGTGGAACTCAGCTGAGTCCTCTGTAAGTCCTCCTTACAAGCTCAGACAAGGGTGTCAGGTTCTTCCCAGAGAGGCAGAGATTGAGACACAGAGAGGTTAAGTGACTTGCCCAGGGCCACACTAATAAGTAACCAGACTAGTACTTCCGAGGCCTGGGGTACAGCAGAGGGCCCTGCTGAGCAGAAGCCCTGGCTCCACAAATGTGCTGGGAACACTCTATCCGCAGGTCCTGGTCTCCTAGGCTCTCACCCAGGTCTTCCTTGGCTCTGCCCCATTCATCACAGCATGAGTCCTGGCACACAGCTAGCTCTTTACGTCTAAATCAGCGGCTTCTTCTCTGTCTATACATCGATTATACAGATGTCAGCAAACAAGGATTATTCTATTCTCTGTGACCAGTTCCTGACAGATGCAGTTTCTTTTTAGAACGATACAGGGTTTCACTTTAATAACATACCAAAGTAGAAATACATAGCTCTTCCCTGGGAGTTAAACAAGCATGGTCATTCAGGGTAATGTCTCACTACTCATTATTATTCTTGTGTCCTTCATACCTAGGGTCAATAGGGTCTACAGAACATGAGCACCTCAGGGAAAACTAGCGTTTACTCAAGGATAAAGCTGGAATCTAAGGGAACAGGCATAGGAACTTTCTGCTGATTAAAGTTCTCCCTTGGCATCACCGTGACCAGGACTCTACAGATAATCTGTGACAATTGTGTTCTTTGCAATGCTGGGGGTGGCATCAAAGGCCTCGTGGATGCTGAGTGTGTATTCTACTGCTGAGCTACTTCCCCAGCCCATTCTTCCTGAGAACTGTCACATCCTGGAAACAAGTTGGAACAACTTGCACACCACACACATAGGAATGAGGGGCCAATGGGGAGCGCGGCAGGAATGGGGAGGAGCTCCTAGTGGCCAGGTCACCTGGTAGGCCTTGTTGCAGATTCCACAGCTGAAGGGCTTCCCTCCAACATGGGTCACCATGTGCCGCTCGAGCATGGAAGGGGCGCTGAAGATCTTCCCACATGTGGGACAGGGGTGGTACTCTTTGGAGTGTACCTCGTGGATGTGCTTTCGGTGATCCTGTAGAGTCGGGAAACTCATCCTGCACTTCTTGCAGTCGTAGGGATCTTCTATGTCTGGTTCCGGGAGGGAGATCCATGGGAAGGAGAGGTAGAGAGAGAAAACACCACAAGCAGCAGTCAGTGCAACACCGAAGGCTTTGCACAGCAAGATGGACGACTGTTTAGGCTTCTGAGGAGCCAGACTCCAATGACCAGAAGTCAGTGTAGTAATAATCTGGCTCCCATTCCCTTGCTCAGGACATAGGATTCTTCCTAGCCTCCTGGACTTACATTTCTGCCAAATCAAACTGCTCACTCAAGCCCTTGCTTCCAGTCTTAAAGTCCAATCCCGCCCTATTTTCCAGGGAGCATCCTGCTTGCACCTCCAGTCTGCAGTGGCAGGTCTGTATTCTCCACTCTAGAGCTTTCCAAGATACTCCCTAAGGTGTGACTGTTTCTTCTGCAGTAGCTTGAGGAATGCTTCTCTGCTCCCTACTTGAGATCCAACAGTGATCTTCATACAGATGACCCCTGGGGAGTGCTCAACACAGGTGTGCTCCAGGTACTTCAGGCGTATTAGCTCCTTAAGCCCCCCACAGCCCTGGGACAAGGTTTTAGCATGTGTCTTATTTTACAGATTAGGAAAATCAAGGTTTAGAGAATGGTCAGTACCTTGACCAAGGGTATAATTACCAAGTAGTCTCATTTGTAAGCTCTTGCCCTGAACTACACATGTAACTGGACATGCCAAGTCCTCAGTGGAACCTCAAAAATAAAATGTTTCCTTAAGGTGGGCATGGGGGCATGGAGGCCAGCCTGGTCTATATAGTGGTCTATATAGTGAGTGCCTATCTCAAAAAGACCAAAAAAAAATAAAAAATAAAAAAAGTTTCCTCAAAGCAACAGGAAACAAGACATTTTAATAATACAGGATTCTGCCCACAAGAAGGGTTCAATCCATGAAGCCCCTGTATGTGTAGTGTCAGGAATCCTGATAGGCAGTCTTTAGTAGCATTGCCTAGATTCCCCATGGACAGACGGGCTTTTCAAATTGCAGGTTCATAATGTTTTTTTTTTTTAAATTTCTTTTTTAATGTGTATGAATGTATTGCCTGAATGTGTATAAGTATACTTGTGTGATGCAGTGCCCATGGAGGTCAGAAGAGGGTGTCCAATCTCCTGGAACTGGAGTTAGGATGGTGTTAGCTGCCATGTGGGTGCTGGGAATTGAATCTGGGTTCCTCTGCAAGAGCAGTCAGTGCTCTTAACTGCTGAGCCATCTTTCCAGTCCCATTCATACTGTCTTTTAAGATGCTCTGACACAAGTTTCTAGTGTAATGCTGTGGGTCCTAAGAAAGCCAGGAATGGTTGCAGAGGGGAAAGAGTCCAGGACACTGGATCCACTTGAATGGTATACTCTAGGGCATGGCAACAGGTTGAGTCCTAAAAATTAAGTCTTCCCCTTCCTTGATTCTCACGCCACTGGGAAAAGCAGGATGTCATGTCCTGAGGTCCAGAAGACATCAAAATTGTAGTGCTGGATCCAGGCCAAACCCTACTCATCTGGATGACTGTAATTGGACACTGTTGCTAACTCCTTAGGGGACATAACCACACTTTATATTCCTCTGCATGACCCAGGGTCCAGCCAGATGCTGGGCACAAGAGGAATTCTGACAAAGTCCTTGCTAGATGGCTGACGAGATGTAGATGTGCTTATAGAAAGCACAATCTGTGAGACGTGATTTGCCCACAGCTACAAACTGGTATGTGGGAAGGCTAGGGGAGGGGAAGAAAGAGAAGCAAGGTCCCTGGCACACAAAAAAGACATGCTCTTGAGGTGACAGATGGTACCCGACAGGGCTGTGCTTATCACCAGCAACACCAATCTCTGGCATTTACTGAGCATTTCTGTGCCAGACATGGAACTTTGTGCTTTACATGTGATATCTCATTTAATTCTGCAACCAAGTCAAGGTGGTAGTATTACTATTTATCTATTTTGAAAGGCACAGAGGAGGCTTATTGAGGTAAAGAAATTTGTTTAGTCTCAGAAAAAGTAAGTGGCAGGATCGGGATCCAAGTCTAAGCCTGTGTGGCTTTCAGAGCAAGTGCCTGGTCTGTTTGCTGTGTTTGTCAACCACACGACACCTACAATAAAGCTGGCTGAGAAAATGAAGGGGCCAGCCACCCAACAGACCATTGTACGTGTGTGTCTGTATGTGTGTGTGTGTGGGGGGGGTTGCATGTCACTGGCTTCAGTAGAAAGGAGGAAGTGGGGACAGCCCCCAATAACTCAAGTGAAATACAATGGCACTTGGAGAAGAACGCTGGGCAGAAGGCTTTGGAGGGAAGGTGCCCGGTACCACCTAGCACAGTGGATGTTAACTCAGAAACAGCCCGACCAGCTCCTGTAGAAACGCTGGCATGAAAACAGGATGAATGTGGAGGGAAGAGTGGAAAGTGGAAGCTAGATGGGGCAATGGAATTATCCCTGTGAGTCTGACAGTGAAGAAGCACTCCCCTTGCAACATAATCTGCTCCTGCCAGCTGAACACTGGAAGGTGAGCTAAAGAGGAAGACAAAGAGACAGTCCTGACAGAGAAGTAAGACTCCAACAGTGATATGCCAAGATGGGATTCTTCCTGAAGTAGGAACCAAGGACTATGGGCTTTATAGAATGGGGAGGAGAGGGCTCAGATGAAGCCCTTTGGTGCAGTGGCATCTCTGTTATGACTTGTTACACCCATTCTCCATGCCAAGTCTGGCCCATGGTGCCTAACATGGTGAGAGCAGTACATACTGTGAAAGGTGTGCAGGTGGATGGAGAGGCCATTGGCTTGCCGGAAGCCCTTGCCACAGTCCCTGCAGACATATGGCTTATCCCCAGTGTGGGTCCTCACATGACGGGACAGCTCAATGGACTGGGCAAACACAGCATCACAGTACTGGCATGCGTACATTTTCCCTGTAAACACACAAGGGCTTGTAAGAACAAACACTGAACATCGATAGGATTCCTACAAACAGAATCAAACTCTAAAGCACACACCAGAGAAATGTCACTTGCAGGTGACATTACCTCAGGCAATGCTGGGTGAGTCTGAGCCACCTCAACAAACACAAGCACCTCACAAACACAGCCCATCACACGGTGGGTGGGTGCAACCGGATGGGGGAACAAAGCTGCTGTCACCAAGAGAACCTGTCTCTTTACCAGGCTACCACAAAGAAGCAGATAGTAGCAGATAGGTTCTTCTGTCCAGAAATGTCAGTTTGGATCTTCTCTGTGCAAAACACAGTATAGAGTAACTTGAGTTTAAGGAAAGCCTAGGCTACATGAGACCCTGTCTCAAAACAAAGTAACAACAAAAAGTCTAGCGTAGATTCCCAACTGCCCACAAATGTGAGCCAGGGATTCAGGAGGAATGCCAGCCTTCCAGTACCCTGCTACAGTTACCATGCTCCCCTTGATTCCTCCACTTCCAATTCATGAGAAAGGAACAGCTCGACCAGTAGAACACAGGTGACCGGTGAGCCTGGAGAACTGGTATTTGCCACGTGCTCCTCTCCTCCAAAGGCTAGGAAGTGGTAATCGGGCAGGAGGGGCTCCAGACGGTTTCTTTCAATACTAGCCCCACTTCAACTAGGGCTGGCAGCTTCAACTTCTTTTTTTTTTTTTCTTTTTTTTTTTTTTTTTTAAAACTGATGGCTTTGAAATAAGATCTTGTTCGGAAACAAAGGGTTTCTTGAATGGAAAGCTAAAATGATCCAAGAATCCTGGGGCTCAGTCCTCAATGTCCCTCCCCCACTCTCTAGAGATCTTAGCTCAAAGCCTTGCATGCCACCTACAACTGCCAACTCCACCTTTCCCCACAAGTCCAGACTTGCCCACCCAGCTCCCCTCTGCTCACCTCGCCACCCAGAGCTCTACTGGAACCCAAACCTACCGTATCACCCCAAATGCAGTTCCTGATGCTCTGACCCTTCCACTCACCTGCCCTGGCCCAAACCACTCCAGCTTTTTCTAGCTCTGGAAATGGCAGCACTATTCACTCAGCTAGCTGCTCATGCCCCAAACCCCAAAGCCACCTGAATCCCACATCTAATCCATTATGAATCCTGCCATATTCACTTTCAAAAATATATCCCCAGTCAGGCATAGTGGTGCATGCCTCAATTCTAGCACTCGGGAGGCACAGGCAGGTGGATCTCTGTGAGTTCAAGGTCAGCCTGGTCTACATAGCGAGGTCCAGGCCAGCTACGGCTACAGGGAGACCTTGTCTCAAAAAGGCATATATACGTCCCCAAACTTGAATGTTTTCAATTCTGACTTAAAAGATTAGTTGGAGACCATCTCTTCCACACTAGACTATCATAACAGCCTCCCACTATCTGTGTCTAAACTCAGCAATGAACAATTAACAGTGAAATCAGAAGCTAGGGAAATGACTCAGTTGGTAAAGTGCCTGCTATGCAAACTTGAGTTCCTGAGTTTGGATCCCTAGCAACCATGTAAGAGCCTGATATGGTGGCTGCATCTGGTACCCCAGTGCTGTGGGGCTAAGGAAGCACCCACACAGGGATAGGCGCAGCTTGCTGGCCAGCTAGACCTGACAACTGATGAGCCTGGAGTTCAGTTAGAGACCTTGTCTCAAAAAATAAGGTTTGAGAGCAATGGAGGAAGACACCTAATATTGACCTCTGGCTCCCTATGCACATGCAACACAAACACACAAAGTGTGAATCACAGCCTATTATCCCTCTGCTCCCCAACTCACAGGAGCATAATGCTCACAGATGTTCCATGTCCTAATCCCCAAAACCTGTTACTGTTGCCTTACACAGAGAAAACAGGCTTTGTTGCTGTGACTGAGTTAAGTATCACCTGGTGGAAATTTGTGCTGTCCTATCCAGGTGGCCTAGTGGAATCCCAGGTAAAAGGGAGAACAAAGGGTCCAAGGAGGAGGCCTGTGACAGGAGCAGAGGCTAGTGTGATATGGCCCTGAACCAAGGCAGTCTTTAAAAGCTGCAAAGGCCAGGAACCTAGTCTCCCAGAGCCCCAAATTCTGATGAACCCAGCTCTGCTGAAACCTTGGTTTTAGCATCTAGGATCCCCTTTCTTTAAAAAAAAAAAAAAAACTTCTAACCTCCAGGGTGATAAGATAATTACATATGTGGTTTTAAGCTATTATTTTTGGTGATTCATTAGGGCAGCATAGAAAGCCAAAGTCCTGACCTTCGCTTATACAAAGGCCTTGCCTTGATGGCCCCTCTGTCCATCGCCTCCCCGCATGGTCCCCCCTCAGGATTCTGTTTCAGCTGCTTCCAGGGCTATGTGATCCAGGTAAGAGCTCATTTGACTCTAGAGAAGCGCTGCCCTCCTCTAAGACCTCCCTCTGGCTTAAGTTCTCACTTTATCCAGGTTTCTAAAGTGGCTCTGGCCTACCCAAGGCCATCCCTGAGGGGGTGAACAGCACACCTGAGCCCCCCACCCCCGGTCCTCAGTGCTCCTTGGCTTTAGTTTCCATCACAGAAATGACTACCCTCTTGACTTCTATCACACATTAGTTTGCTGTCTGCCTTGTCCATTGAAATGTAAGCGCCACAAGAGCAGGGCATGCGCATTAACAATATCCCTATGCCCAGAATAGCACTCAAGAAATTCATTCACCAACAAGTGTTTCTTGAGGGCTGTTCCAAGTTCCCTATAAAAGACCAGCAGCTCTACTTTCACAAAGCCTGCGTTCTAACAGGGAGACTAACTAGGGATGGAATAAGCGAATGAAGCAGACGCTTGTCACATGCTAAGCACTGTGGAGAAAAGTAATGCTGGAGAGCAGGCTGGGGCTGTGTCCTCTATGGTGGTCAGGATGCCTCATGGGAAGGTGAGGAAAGCCTGGAGGAGGGAGGAAGTGAAACAGATATACCTGGAAGGAGGAGGCCCATGAAAGGTAAGAACAGAAGTCCTGGAGGAATGCGCGGTGGGCCTGAGGCCTGGCAAGGGAGCTAACACGGGAGAAGAGCGTGGGTGAGCAGGAGCAATGAGCGGAAGTCAGCAGAGTCGGGGCACTCAAGCAGGGCTGGGCTGGCAGGCCATCAGGAGGACGCAGATTCCACACTGCATGAGATGAAAAGCCACTGCATGTTTTGAGCAGCGGCATGGCCTGACAGGGTCTAGTTTTAAATGTGTAAGGGAAATACTTAGACAAAGAGGCCGAGGAAGCCATTGTAACCATCCAGGTGAGGCCATGTAGGCATTGCTGCTACCTCCTCCATGCTCCAAGAGGCCCTCCCTGACCTCCCTGCCACTGCACTGGGCCCCATACCTTCTTTCCATAGTCTTGGACTGACAGTGCTCTACAACTGTCTCTGTGCCTCCTCCCTGGCCCTCAGGCTGGCAGGTACTGGGCACAGGGATTCCAGCTAGTCACCTGTATGGCCCAATCCACAGCAGATAGTCCATCAGGTCTTCCTCCTGCTTTAACCACATATAAAGTGCAAACGATTCCTGGCCTTATGTAAATCCCAACCATCTAATGATGCTCTAGCCCACTTCTTCAGAAACCCTCAAGGTAAGCACTGCACACTAGGGCACATAAGGGTTCCTAGTCACACACCTAGAGATTTGGAATTGTTTCTGCTTCTGCTTCCCTGAGAACTGTGCGTGCCTGAGGCCAAACAGATTTTAGGCAGCTCCTCCAGCGGCAGTCTGCAGGAAAAGGAAGGGTGCCCTCACCTTCCGAGTGCTTCTTCTTGGTGTGGTAAGCCAAGGCTGAGGCCTGCGTGAAGGTCATGAGGCAATGCTTGCACATGAATGGGCGGTCCCCGGTGTGAAGGCGGAGGTGGTTCTTCAAGGTAGAGTTGGCTGCAAACTTTGCCCCACATTCCTCACAGGAGAAAGGCTTCTCATCAAAGTGCTCAGTCAGCTTGTGGTACTGCATGCCTAGGGAAGGGTGCCGGGGTGGGCCCAGAAGAGACACCAGCAGCCAGTGTCAGGAATTCAGCAGGAGAATGCCCAAGCCAGCTGCACTGGCCAGGCTCAAGCATGAGCCCCAGGAGGCCAGGCCACCCTAGCCTTTGCCTTGCCTGCAACATTGCTCACATGACCACCAACCCACTCCCAGTCACCTCTGCCTCATTCCTGGTTGAACTGGGCATAAATGATTCTGGCTTATCTCCTCCCCCGCCTTTTAAGGGGGACCCGCCATCCACAAATAGGGAAACAAAACTCAGTCATGTTGCATTAGGTTCACCCACCATCTGAGGCAGGGCAAAGCATCCCAACTCTACACTTCATGGTTTTCATAACTTCCTATCAGTACGTAAATGATTTGGGAGAACCTTAAGAGCCAAGTGCCCAGAGCTCGCTACGACTATTGTAATAGCTCAGGTTAGTATGTGGGCACTGTACTAGCTGTTTAGTTCTGCTACCTCAAAATTTCCTAACGTGCAAAAAAGTGGGAGGAGGGACCTCCCTGCCAGATAGGAAAGCAGAGCTCTGCGAGCTGACTCCAATGCCCATGCTCTTCGCCTCTGTCCACCCGTTCTACTGCTGTGCCGTCCACACTCAGCACAGACAGGGCCAGGCTGGAGCCCAAGCTACACTATGTGCGGCCATGACTACCTGAGGCGTGGGCAAACTCTCTCCCACAGAGATCACACGTCACTGGAAGCCTCTTCTTCTTCTTCTTGGGGGCATCTGGCTCTCCACCTGTGCTTCGGGCCTCCGGCTGATGTTTCTCCAGCTCCTTCTCCGAGCCCTTGGTCTCCCTGCCGTCTTCGCCCTGCACCTGCTTGCTCCTGGCCACCCGGCAGCGCTTCATATGCACCTTCAGACGGCAGTAGAAATGGAAGCTCTTGTCACAAGCTTTACAGACGAAGCTCTTCTTGGCAGAGTCTGGGAAGGTGGAAGTGTTTTTCTCCTGTTGCTCTGGAACGGACCCAGCTTCCCTCTGAGCCTTTTGTTCTGCGGGCTGGCAGTCTTCTCCAGTTGCCTCGGCTGCCTTCTCCTTTTCCTGGGCTTGAGGGTAAATTCTGTCACTCACCTTCCACCTTTCCTTCTCTCCGTCTTCCTTAGTAAGGAAACCTGCACAGGAGAGAAACTCACAGCTCTGGGACATTTGTTTCTATTATCCTTTATAACTTCTCTAACACCCTCTTAGAGGAGATGGGAGACTACTTAGATCCTGGGAAACTCTGAATATCACTGTTACTTTACTTGCCACTAAACACAAATAGCACCTTGTCACACTGCGCTCCTGGCTGTTAGGTGCTGTTAGGAATAAAGATCTTGAGGTACCACTTACTCCTACATGAAATGCAGTTTCTTTTCCTCAATATAGAAAGTGCACCGGGGTCCATTAGGGGCCCCCTGTTCCTTACCAATGTATGCCAACTCCTGCATGATGGGCTGCAGGCCAGGAAAAGATTTGTGGATACTGCACAGGAGGCGACAGACTGCAGCAGCTGAAACAGATTTCTCCACGGCCCTGCTTAGCACCGCTCTCAGGGAAGCCCCAGGGCTCGCTGTGTCGGAGGAAACGCTCAGCATCTAAATGAACACCACAGGACAGAGCTGCATTAACATCAGCAGATTTTCTCCATGGTCCTCAATACAAAAGAGAGAGAGAAAGCTAATTCCAGAAGACCAGCTCCACCTGTAAGTGGTTTAGTCTTCTCCTTGGGAGACATGTAGAGAGCCCCATTTTCAAAGGACAAAAAAATTAGCAAAACCAAAACCAGGGAAGCACATATCAAGAAATACAAAGAAAGAACAAACAGGGGAGCATTAGTGTTTTCTGTAAGAATTATCTTCTTAGCAACCGGGAACCTCCCAAAGAGCTTTTCTAGATCTTAACATGAAAAGCCTGGAGAGCTATAGGATTTGACAGCAGCTGTTTCTGTGGAGGAGAGCAGGATAATTTTTCATAATATATAATTGTCTCCATGTCTAGAAGTAATTCTGTGTGACCAGTGGCTTCATATTTTTAGACACTTAGATGTACCCCTTTAAACATCATTTTCTTTCATAAAGTCACTCAGCGTTTTAAAACAGGTTCAAATAGGGGCTTTAAAGAGACCAAGAATATGATTTCAAAGATGTTCTCTTTCAAAATTTTAGAGCTATGAGCAGAGAGTCAGCACACTGAGAAAATAAAGCAAGACCATCCCACAGATGGCCACATGGAACTTTCAGTTTGGAAGATATTTTATTTCTGCTCTTTCCAAGTCTGTCTAAATAAACCTGATGTCCCTGGAGATAGGCATGAGACTAATTAGTGAGGCTAGAATGATCAACTACAGAAGCCCCAGCTCTGAAGTATGTGGCACTCTAGAGAAGGTGGGCAGATGAGCCTTGCCTCTGGAGCCCTGCAGGAGCATGTCCTGTCTGAGAAGCAGATGGAGGCGGGGCTGTCGCCAGTGAGAATGGTTAGAAACCTGCCCTTCTACCTATGTGGATCAAAAGGACACTCCAGGTACATCTGCAGTTTAATTTTATGTTCCTTTATTATTCTTTCCCACCTGAGATACACATGGCCTGGTCTGGACATCCTCAAGGCCCCCTCAGCCCCCACCTGGACTTTCTGGCATGCTGGCCACACTGTGAGATGCTTTACAGAAAATGAGTTGGCATTATTTGCTACCCCATATGGGCAAAAGCTTTGTTCTATCTATGTTTATCTTGGCTCTTTCAAGGAGTCAGAGGAGAATGTGCAATAAAACCAACTTTCCTCTCCTTCAGCTGGGACCAGCTGCTTCTGAGGACGTGGCAGAGAACAAAACCATGGCTCTTCATGAGCTCTATCAAGGCTTAAGCAGCTGAAGAAATGCAGGTTGGAGCTGTATGACTGGTTTCGAACTCTGGCTTAGCCGCTTACTTGTTAGTGTTCTAGATATGTACCTCAACTGTGTGCACCTGGGCTCCTTTGTAAAAGGGGATGCCATCACCTGCCACGGAAGGGCTGGAGGACTAAGAGCCAGGATGTTAAGGAGAGCTCGGCAGGGCATAGGCACGCAGGTGCACCACAGCAAATGAACATGGACCCAGGTCTACCCAGCAAAGTACAGAATTTGATTTGCCTGCCCTCCAACACACAAACCTCTTTCACGGCCTCAGCCAGGTGCTCGTCCTCTGAAGAGAAGTGCTTGAGCTCCATCCTCTGTTGGATGGCCTCTGTGATCAACTTGCCATGCCTCAAGACAGTTTCCAAGACAGTGCTTTCTGGGGCAGTCACTGCAAGAAAAGGAGACTGGAAACTCAGGCTAACAGTGGCACCATTTTCTCCTTAACCTCTCAGCTCCACTCTCCACAGTGACAACACAATTCATCTGTCTCCATGTTGAGGTGGGGAGTGAGGAAAATGCTAATATCACTGTAACCAGAGTACATCACTATGAGGTTGTAAATGCCTATGTCTCTGAACAAAATTGCCAGCCCTTGCTTTTTCTTTGGTGACACATAAACCTTACATACATTTACCACATGATGTTTCCATACAGGTGTATGTTATGTAAAGTTCAAATCAGGATTCACTACCCAGGCTGCTCAGACATCACTTCTCTTAACACAGGTCAAGTCCTTCCTTCCAATCTTTCTGAAACACATGGTGCATTACAGTTACTATGATCACCCTACTGTGCAGAAGAATTCAGGAACTTGCTTTGTTGTGACTCCTGAGGGGAGGGACATGGATGACTATGTAAGAGAGTCCGCCTATTTCCTGGGGGATGACAGTTGTCTCGACTGGAGCAAAACTATGGCAGAGGGCAGGGAACTCACCTGCACAAAAGAAAGCCCCAGCACCAGGCTCCCTTCCTATCTCTTCCAAGAGCAGGTTCAAAGGACACGTCTTGGTCTCCCGAGCCGCCAGCAGCAGCTGCCAAATGACTGTTGTGGAGAGAGTCTGCTTCTCCAGAGCTGCTGACATCAGGGAACTGAAGCCGCCTGAGCCACAGGACTGTTTGACGAGTTTCTCCATGACCTTCAAGATGCAACACAAAAGTGCATGACGCTGGTCCTGGGCTAGCTGCGGAGCTATTAAGACTTGGTACCCAGTTAGGGTGAATGCATTCTCAGAGAGGAGGGATTTCAACATCCTTCACTTCTCTCAACCTGGGAGAATTTCTTCTGAAAAGTTAAATTCACTTTGTTATGTATATGAGAGTGGATGGAATAAAGGAAGTGCTTAGTGGTAGAGAGCTTATTTTACATACACGAAGTCCTGGGTCTGACTTTAGCATATACACACACACACACAAAAAATAAAATTAAAATTTTTTTTTCTTTTAGCTGAAAGGGTTTGTTTTGTTTTGAGACAAGGTCTTACTATATAACCTAAGCTGGTCTTGAACTCACTATTTTCCTCCCTCAGCTTCGCAAGTGCGTAAGGTGTGCACTGCCAAATCTGGCTACTGAGAGATTTCTTATTCGTGAGAAAGTTCTTTCTTTATAAATGCCTTTCTTGAGCAAGAGGAATTGCCATAGCAACTGCAACTATTCAGGCCAGTGAGATGGCTGAGTGGGTAAAAATATTTGCCACCAAACCTGATGACCCGAGTTCGATCCCTGGAACCCATATGGTAGAAGGAGTGAACTGACCTCCACATGCATGTCATGGTATAAATTTTTTTAATGTTAAAAAAATATTGCAACTATCCTACTTGATACTTTGCTTTAGAAAAATGAGTTGCCTTCCATTTCTCCTTCTGGGCATTTCTTAACATAGCTGCGTCTGTGTATTTACAGAAAATGTAAATGTGTTGTGTGCATATTCACATTTTCCCTCCTTGCCCTCCCTCCCCCTCATGCTTACCTCTCTGTCTCTAGGGGCTAAACTCCTCAGGTGCGAGATCGCCTTTAGCAGCACCTGGCTGTCTGTGAAAATCTCACAGAGGTTTTCATGATAGCGTCTCAACAGCTCAGCACCATAATCATCAGGGTTTGGATGGACTGTAAGGACATCAGCAGAACAATAAAGCTTGATGCAACAAAACCACCCAAGGGTTTCTCCCACAGAACACAGGGATATTCTGCACAAGAGGGAGAAAGATCAGTGCAAGAGTCATTTCTGCTGCAGAGCGGAGTCCTGTAGCCAGTGCCTGGAAGAATCCAGTGACTACTCAGCAGGGAGGTAATAAGAAGGCTGCTCAGATGTACAGATTCAAGGGCTGTACTTCATGAAGCCTGAGGCAAAGGGTCCATGTGGTAATCCCAATACCAGCAGCCACGAGTCAAGGCTGTGCCTAGAAGCTGACTGCGGTCTACTCAAATGCCCTCTGAGCCCATCTGTTAGGTATTCTCTAAGAAGTCACATTTCTTTGAAAGTAAAGAAAATCCAAGAAATCAGGCATTTCCCTTAGTTTTACAGATATTTCTATGTTCACTTTCCTTTTTGACCCAGCAAACCCACTTCTGGAAATTAATCCTTAAAAAGTGATGTGAAAGCAAAGGAGCACTGACACTTGATAACTTGTGACGATGCTGCTTATGACAAAGACAGCGACCACTGACATTCACTGAGGGCCTACTACCCACCAGGCACTGTACTAAATGTTTAACAGGTGTCATTTTACAGTAGCCGCAAAAATGAATGTGATAAGATACAATTCATATAACCATTCCAGAGAAAATGAGGCTCAGAAAGTGAAGTTGCTTGTTAAGGTCAGAGAGCTATGAAGCATGGTGTCAGCAGCAAAGCCACTGTCCCGACACTCCAGTCTCACCATTACACCACACCTGCCCAAATCAGGGCTTGAGTAACATGCCACACTCATTCCTGTGATGGAATACACAGTCTTCAAAAAATAGGGTGACAGGGAGTTTCTAGAAATGTGAGACTGTTATGACACTGCCAAATAGGAGAAATCAACTGAAACTATGGAGGTCTATGAGCACGAGCTCCAGCACCTCACTGCTAACATCTAAAAACTATGGAAGTCTATGAGCATGAGTTACAGCATCTCATTTTTAACATGAGGACTACAGCTTGTTTTCTTCTTCATGTCTGGAATTGCCCTAGTTTGTGTAAGAATATATTACTACACGCTACGAAAAACAGCTCTGCTGTTTCCCAGAAATTCTCTTTTCTGAAAGCCATCTTGGTCCCTTGTGCTCTGGAACAGGGCAAAATGGCTCCAGGTGAGCTTTCCAAGAATGGAAATGGCCTCCCTCCCAGCAGTGGAGGGACACCAGGCTGCTATTTGAGGACCACAGCACACAGCACTCAGATGAGAATAGGGCAATCAAGATTTGAGTTTTGCCACTCATATCCAGCTACACAGCCTGCCAGAAGGCAGAGCCTCCTGGACCCTTCTGTCCCTTCAGTTTCATAGATAACCCCGGCCAGTCTTGGGTATATCGATGTGGGAGTCCATTAGTAAAGCCTGAACCATGGGGACCCCAAGAGGGAGCTCAACAGAGAAGAGTGTTCAGATTTCAGCCTCACAATGCCTTTTCTTAACATTATCTCAATTCCTCAGCATGGAGCCAGAAGGGTGCTTTAAGCTGTGATTTTCTGCAGGAACAACTTCTGCCCAGATAGTGAACAATTAACTAGTACCTGTGGTGCTGGGCAACACAGCTACCTTCTGCAAATTCTCCAGGAGGCAGCCCAGGTTTGGGAATGCAATCCTCACAGCCTGGAAGAGTTTTACCAGGCTCTCGGCAGGTAGGGTCTTCTCTTCAGTCATTCTGTACAACAAATTCTCTATCGTCTCTTTGGGTGTTCCGCCCTCACAGCAGTTCAGAATCACCTGCAGGGACATGCAATCAAGCAAACACCAGTCAGGGTAATTCAAAATGGATCTGACACACTGCTGGAAAAGCCAGCAAGGTGGCATCACAAGATGCCTATCTCTAAGCCCTCCCCGGTGTGTCGCTAGCACTACTTTTTAGCATAGTCCCTTCCCTATTCTGTGTAAATAAAAATCCAAAACATTCTCCACACAAATAGCTCTATGCAACTTCCCGGTGGCAGGCCTGCAGGTATACGTTCTGCTTCTAACAGGTTGTGTTTTTTGAAAATCTTCTTAGAAAAAGGGCCGGCCTGGTACTTGTTATATGGCCCAGGCTGGTTTTGAACTCAAGGCAAGCCTCCTGCCTCAGCACCCTAAGTGCTGAAATTTCAGGTGTGCACCACCACAGCCAGCTGTGAGCCCCTCATGCCTAACCTGTAGGATACATTGCAGAGCACATATCTCAACTGGTTCTTTGGATTTGGCTTGTTTCAGACACTGAGACTGAGAAACAGGGTGGCACTTAATTAACATGCTTAAAACATTTTTCCATTTCTATCCCATGCTCATGATATTGGTACCATAAAAATTTAGTCTGTGGCTACAAATAGTAAAGTGCTTTTTTAGTTTATTTTTTTTTTTGTAGAGACTAGGGCTTGCTATGCAGTCCTGGCTTGTCCAGTGCTCACTCTGCAGTCCAGGTTGGCCTCGCACTCCTTCTTCAGCCTCTTGAGTGCTGAGAATACAGCTGTGTGCTGCTAAGCTGTGCTTCTTGTGAATTCTTCTGTGTATACAAGCACACACGTGTGTGAATGTGTGCTACTGTGCATGCACCTGCGGAGGTCAGGGGATGATACTGGGTGTCCTGCTCTGTCACCCTCTGCCTCATTCCTTTAAGACAAGTCTCTCTACAGAACCTGGAGCTAGGCTGCTGGCCAGTCAGCCTCAATGATCCCCCCGTCCCTCCCCCAGGCACACGTGCAACCATGCCTGCCTTACTGCATAGGTGCTGGGAACTAAACAGGCTCCGACTCACAGATCTATCTTCCTGCCATGAATTCTTTTTGCTTTATTTTTGAGACAGGGTCTACGTAGCCCTGACTGGTCTGAAACTCAGAGATTCACCTGCCTCTGCCTCCTGAGTGCTGTGATTAAAAGCTTGTGCTGTGACCACCACCCCATATACCACCCCCAACAGCTGCTGTGAATTTATTATCCATTCTTTTTTGTTTTTGAGAGAAGAAATTCTTTATTTTCAATCTATTTTTATTGATTTTTGTGCATTTCATACATCTTAATCATACTTAGAACCCCTCCCTATCCACATCCCCCCATAGCCCCTGCCACTGAATTTCATGCATCCATTCTATCATATATGTTAAAGCCTATCTAGTCAAGTTTGTGTGCCTAGATGTCCCTCTGTGCAAGTCCATCCACTGGAGTCTAGTCAGCCTACCTAGAGTCACACCCTTAAAGAGCAACTTTCCCTCACCCAGAAGTGATCAGTTGCCAATAGTTCCTCCGCTAAGGTTGGGACCTGCTGCCCATTTCCCCTGTTCTATGCTGAGTTTTTGTCTGAGTTTTGTTTGCGTGGGCTTTGTGCATGCTTCACCACTGCTGTAAGTTCACATGAGCAAGGTCCCAGAGGCCTGAAGACTCTGTTTCCTTACGTTTGTCCTATTACCCATTCTTATCATTTTCAATGGCCACATGCTTCCACAACTCAACAATTCCACTTCCTTAGTTTACCAATGGACTTTCTGAATGAAACAGTCACAGGGCTCTAGCTTTTAAAAAGTTGAAAACTAAAACATGTGACAGATACCTCTCTATTGTAGTAGAACTATTTCTTAATGGACCACAATGCATATGCACAGGATGGCTCTTTTAGAACTGATAAAGCAAGGGATTATTTCAGTGTATGTAACCCACAGATTCACAGTAACTGAGCTCTGAGCTTTCCTTTGGGAAGTGCCAGCTCTCAGGAGAAAGTCAGGCAGAACAGTCATGGGAATTCCTTAGCAGCTGCGATGATCAAATCATCTCCCATTGTAAAATGGCTTTAGCCTTGAAACCAAATTGGTTTTTATATAGGAAATAAATTCTCATTCTCTCTCTCTCTCTCTCTCTCTCTCTCTCTCTCTCTCTCTCTCTCCCCTCTCTCCTCTCTCCTCTCTCCTTGTTAGTACAGAGCAGCTATTTCTTCCTTGGGTAAGGTCTAATATACAGTAGACATCTACTAAATAAATCATCATTTAAAATGTAAGAGTTTGTATTTAAAGCCCATAGTGACTTCATAGCAGCCTTCTGATGTCCAGAGAAGCAAAGCAGCCATGTTAAAGCCAGACTAACCTAGTTTGTACCCCAGTCCTAGTTATTCATCACTGTGTGACTTCAGGCAAGTTATTAGCTTCTTGGAGCCTTCTTTCCTTCACTTGCAAATGAAGATAACCATACCAACTCTTGCATAGTCTTCATGAGGATTCTGTAAGATGAGGCTGCAGGTTTTAGAACCTGGTGTAACCCTTAAAGACACATGTGCACCTTCAGAAATGGCAATGTTGGCTGCAGAGATGGCTCAGGGGTTAAGGACAAGTATTGCTCTTGTAAAAGAACCAAGTCTGGTTCCCAGCACCTATATCACATAGCTCATAGTCACCTGGAACTCCAGTTCAAGGGGATCTGACACCCTCTTCTGGTCTCTGAGGGTACTGTACTCACATGCACAACACCCCCTCCCTCCCCACACCCCCAGATATACAGATATACACATAATTAAAAGTAAAAACAAAATCTGGAAGGAAGGAGGGATGGAGGGAATGAGGGAGGGAATGAGGGAGGGAGGGAGGGAGGGAGGGAGGGGAGGGAGGGAGGGGAGGGAAGGAGGTGGGTGTGCTGTCACTGGTTGGGAGTCATCTGCAGAGTGGTGAAGAGGATGTGCTTGATTAGAAGCCAGGGCCCCAGCACAGCCCAACAGAGCCTCTGAGCTAGCCTTACCCTCCCTAAGCTCCTGCTTCTTACAAGGGTGGTGGTATCTATCCATGAGGCCCCACAGCTGCTGGGAAGGAAAATTCAGTAACATTTAAAGTCTTTAGAACATTGCCTGGCACACAGGAGGCAAGGCAATAAACAAATGGCAACTAAAAGTAATTATTATTATTTTTATGGGGCTGGAGAGATGGCTCAACAGTTAAGAACACTGACTGTTCTTGCAGAAGACCCTGGTTCGAATTTCAGCACCCACATGGCAGCTAACAACTGTCCTTAACTCCAGTTCCAGGGAATCCATCAGCCTCTTCTGTCCTCCACAGGCATTGCACAACATGGGTACACTTACCTACATGTAGGCATAATACTTGTACACATAAAAAAGACAACAATAAATAAAAATTTTTTTAAATTATTTTTATGCCTTCAAGTGAAAAATTCCTATTTTATCTTCTCTTGCAGAAAGAATTCAAGGCATTCACAGATAAAGCATGATATCAAATTTCATAAAATAAGTTCTAAAAGGCCCAGGTGCATATTCTTCATGATGCCAAGACACTGGCTATGGGATTGACATTCACTGCTATACTCCACCTGCTCAGGCTGCTTTGGTCTCCCCAGGAGGAGCAGTCGATGCAGTGTCAGTGGATCCCCAGCTTAAGAAGTTTCTGTGATTTACACCTAATTGAAGTTCTTCTGCTCTAGCCTTTTTTTGTCAAATAAACTGAAAGTGACAGAAGAAAATGACAGCATGGTCTATCCTGCTGCAGAGAATGAGGCTGGGGCTGGTTCCACCTCTAAGTGCTAGTTTACCAAGGTAATGGAACAGCTCAGAGTCCACATTCAACCTGGCTCATCGGGAAAAGGCTGAGAGGAATAACAGAATGAAATCTCTCAACAGGGAACCAAGGGCTTCTACTGCAATAGCAACTTACTGAAACCGAGTGCCCACAATTACACTTAATCTGTAACCTTAGAAGAAAAACAGGTCATTTTTTCCACTATATTATCTTTGTCTGTGGTGTTCACAGAACTTAAAAAATTTAAAACATAATTAATTCCCAAAATGTAATTTTGAGATTAAAGGCTATTCCACCTAGCTGTTTACCTGGATATTCCATGTAAGGCAGATGGAACCCAGAATCCACCATCACTATGAACCCAGAGCTCGGCCATCACACCAGTGGTTTCAAAACATCTCTGCTGGACATTTAAGTCACTGCCTACAGTCTTAAGAAGTGATGCCACAACAGTTCTCTCTCCCCATCCTTCCTTCTAGACATAGACATATTTTTAGCACAAAACTGAAATCGATAACACCCACAAATACTGTTATCTAGTTGCCTTGGGAAGTCATGCCAGCAGTTTTATGAGGATTTTAGCAGCTAGCTGGTGGGAGAGTAGATCGGTGTGACCTCCCTCAAGGGCAATTTGGCAGTATCTACCAAACACTTTTACACTCTATTCCAAAATTCCTTAAGATTTAACCTAAGAAGGGGCAGGGTATGGTGGCACACACCTTTAATCCCAGCACCTGGCAGGCAGACACTGAGGCCAGCCCAGCCAGCTATAGCTGGTGCTACAGGATCTCTCTCTCTCTCTCTCCAATTTCCCAAAGGAAGTAATATTGAAAAGTAGACAGAGCTGTGTCTCGGCCACATCATTTATAATACCAAAAAAAAAAAAAAAGGCAACAAACCCCAAGAATAAAGAGTGAATGAACCATGATGCGTGCCTGCTAGGATATACTATAGTGCCCTGAATCCAAGCTATAGATGGAGAAATGTGCTAGCAGAGTAAATAAACAAGCAAGCTAGGGAGGAGGCCTGAGCGCTAACCCCATTGCAGGACAGAGGGAAGCACGTGCTCTGTCAGCAGAGCCATCTCCCCATGGTGAATTTGTTTTTTCCTTTTTGCTTGTTTTCCTCCATAATCTACACATTAACCATGCATCATTTCTGCAAAGAAAAACATCCTAATAATTGAAATGTGCCTTAACATTCAACTCTTGCTCCAGCTACTTCTAGCAAAGAAGCAGAGTCGGAGCAGGAAGTGTACATCTGTCCATCCACTTGCCCAGCTGCTGTATGCTGCAAGGTGCACAGCCCAAAGTAAGCCATAGCAAGAAATGGAATGAAGGGTACAACAGGAACCCAAGCTTCAAGGCGATTCCTACGAGGGAGCTACAGAAGTACTGCAAGGCAAGAAGTGCCATGCGCTGGCGAGGTTTCAGAACAAGCTCCACACCCATTCGAAGGGGGAACAGGCTTGACACAGTTACCCTTCTCTCAGAGCCAGGCAGGAATTCCTCCTTGGCTGTTTCCAGGAACTCCACAATCGGTCTCAGCTGTGTTACACACTGTATCAGGTCCTCTTTGTGTTCCAGTAACAGAATAGACAAGGTCTTTCCCTCCCCTGCACTCCCTGGGGGAGAAAGAATTAGAGACACACAAGAGAAGCTAGTCAATTTGAAGAAAATGACAGCATGGTCTGTCGAGAGATCTAACAGAATAGTAAAGCGATTCCATGCACCTGAATGCAGAATCACTTCTGGAGAGGAAAATACTTTATTATTCTGTTTAAACTCTATGAAAGGAAAATGTTTCATTTATCTGTCGAAACACAAAGCTTCAGAGCCAGCCAGAGGTTAACTTCTGGTTGGCAAGGCCACTGCTTTGTACCCAATCCAAATGAGAGCGGCTTCAGCCTTCAAGTGCTGCCGGCGAACCAGCCACCCTGGGCACTCCAGGCACTGCTGTGGACATGCGGCTTTTTGAAAGGCAGAACAGCGACAGGCGCTTCAATTTGTCAAGATACAGCCTAGGTAACTAGGGGACAGAAATGGAGACTCTCACATAGCCTGTGCATATTTAACACGCAGCTTCTGGATGGCACACAGAACCTACATGAAAACCACTTAGGAACAAAGCCACCAAGGGTCCGTATCCCCCGGATGGAGTTGGGTCGTGCAGGCTTAGACTACTTCCCACCTTCTGGTTGCAATGGCATTGCATCTTCTGGCTCTTGAGCTAGCAGAGCTGCTTTGACTGCAGGTACAGAATCCTGGCACAGTCTCATCAGCGATATAGCTGCCTGCATGTCCAAGCTCTCATCTCGTACTTTGTCCAGGATTCTCTGGAATGCCGTATGTCCTCCTTCACCCATGAGACATTCTATTATGGCCTGTGAATCAAGTGCCCAGAGAGAAAGAGAGAGTAGTTGCCTATGAGAATCACATTTGTGAGGCAAGAACCCCAACAACTGACCCTCCCCCACTCCAGCTGTCCTGTACTGTGCACCAGCTTGCCCAGAAGTAGGTGCAGCAACTCAACCAGCTAATCCACCACAGGAGCCACTTCCACCCTCTAGTCTCCCTTGGCTCTGCCCTCGCCAAAGGCACCACCTCTTCTCTGCAGCTCTTCCTCCTGCACTGACACACCAAACTAACTGTTTGACTAATGCTTTCTCCGACAGACTTCCGGAGGACAGGGATCTGTATGCTTAGCAAGGAGCATGGCCCAGCACACAGTAGGTGTGCAGTGTATTTTTAACAAATTCAATGTGCTTCTTACCTAATTATACCTTTCTGAATCATATGACACTGGTATTTCTCAGGCAAGGATATCTGAATTTCAAATTGAATGAACTGTCATTTTATTATTTGAGAATGCAATTAAATCTTGCTAGTTAGGAAAAAAGAACACTTTAAGTCATTTACAGTCTGAATGATAGACTATTTAGAAAGACACGGGCCTTATTACTTTTAGATACATTCTGTAATAAGGCTAACAATGTGTTGGCTCATAGGTGCCAGCTGTCAGGGAACATGACTCACATATTAATATCTCTGTGGTAATGACTGCTTCTACCCTACAGGGGCTTCAAAGTTTCTTCTGGAAGCAACACCAGCCCACCTGACTGTGGCTTCAGTGTCACAGTTCTCAGACTTGAGTGACACTGAAGCACCATGGGTAAGAACTTTATTGTTGTGACCAGCCCTTTTCAGTGTTCTCCCAAATCCATAGCCATAACTGGGGTCTAAGATTGGCTTAAAACTTTATTATTGTGACAGGACAGGGTCTTGCTATGTGGCCCAGGTGGCCACAAACTGGCAATGCTCCAGCCCAAGGTTCTGTTGACTCTTCCTTTCTTTCTCCAGGTAACCCTGTCAACAGGCTCTCTCTCATCTTCTGATCTAGAGCCACACAGCTCTATGCCTTAAACTCCAGGTCTCACCACAGAGCAAATCATGAATGTTCCAGACCATGGTAAAATTATCAGCAACTGTAGTGGTTAAAAAAATAATAATAATAATAAGCATTTCTTTCTTTGGTCTGACAGAACATTTCTTATATGAACAGGAGAAAGGTCAATGGGAAGGTAGAGTTCTATTTTGGCAAAACTTTTTTTGAAAAAAATGAAGTCACTAAAACAGAATTCTAGGTGTACACAATGGATTCTATGTTAACCTTTAAGGGTTTATTATATTTTTCAGTCATTTCCAAAAGTAAACTTTGAAAAAACAGTTCAATAATCTACACTAAAGGGGGCTAGAGAGCTGGCTCTGTAGTTAAACTGTTTGCTGCTCTTGCACCCATGCTGGGAAGCTCCTCTAACTCCAGTTTTAGGGAATTGGATGCTCTTTTCTGACCCCTGTGGACACCTGCACACACATGTGCACACACCTGCCCACACACATCAATAAAACATAAAAGAAATCTTAAAAAAAATAAAGATACTCTCACCCTTGGGCTGCACTTCATGATTTGTTTCTGAAGGGAATCTGGTGGAAGCAGGGTAAGCCTTTGGGGTTAGGCCACCATGACTTCTGTCTGGCTTACAAGCACATGTGTGGGTGACTGAGTGTGGGTATGCATGTACCTGGGCTTACTCTGCCACCTGCTGTATGCTGCTCTGGGGAATGCCAGCTACCACATTTGAACTGCCCCAGGGAAAGGCCTATGGGAAGGGGGAACAGTACCAGTTGCAACAAGTGTACAGCATGAACCTGAACCTTCTGAGCTTGCTAAGCTTCTGGAGAGAGCTTAGAAAAGATGCTCCGGAGGTGAGCCTGGAGGCAGCAGTAGCTGGCTAACACCCAGCTGCAGCCTTCTGTCATAGGCTTAAGTCAGAGGACTCAGCCAGGCTCCATCTGGACCTGCAGAATCTCTGGGGATAAACGCTTGCTGTCCCCAGGCTGCTGAATGCTACAGTGACTTCTTAGATGAGAATCCATAGCTGGCAGACACATGCTTCATTTCTAATACACTCAGTAAACACTTTCCCTCCCTCCCTCCCTCCCTCGCCTCTTAATTGATATCTCACACTCCATCCCAGGCCACACTGTTCTCTTCTTTCACCCACAGCGCTCTGAGTAGCCCAGATCCTTGCTGGGTATCCACTGTCTGGCATTATCATCTGCGCTGAGGGGAGACGCTGCCCCCAGTGGTGGCTTCTGAAGTGCTTCTCATTATCCTCACTGCTTCCCTCCCTCTGCAGAGCTACTCAGCAGTGAAATGAAAACATTTGTTAACTTCACTGCTCAGCAGTGGTGCTGGGTGACCATCCGGGAGGAGACAAAGGAGTGGCTGATGAAAGGGCAGAAGAGGCCATCAGCTACCTGGACAGCCCTGCTCTTCCCTCCAGTACTTGCTGGGCATCCACACCAGAGCTGGCGCTAACTCCAGGCTTGTTAGGGTTCTGTAGTACAGCAGGCCTCCTTGGGAAACAGGGGTTCTGCCCAGGCAGAAGGGAGCCACGTACTTCTATAGGCTGCTACCAGGTAACAGGACTCCAAGAGTCCGACCAAAATACAGTGTTGTCAAAAGGGCTAAATTCTTTACTCATACCTTGGAACACCTTTGACTCTTGAGGGATTAAAGGTACATCAGTAAATTCATGTCAACACATGTTCACACAAGAAGTCAAAGTTATTTATGAGTAAAATACAGGTAAATGTATTTTACATTAAATGAGAATTTCTTTTCCTTCTAGGATATGGGAAAACCATCTAATCTTCCTCTTAAGTCAAGCCTTTTCATTGAATTTAAGCACTTGCTCAATTATTTTTGCTGAGGACCTTTGTGTTTGTTTGGGTGACTGTCTTGTGTACTCTGGTCCTCCCTTCAACGTTGAGGATCAGATAATGGAAATAATAACATGGATGGACCTGGATGTGTAGCTCCAGGGTAGGGTGCCTGCTCAGCCTACAGAAGATCCTGGTTCAAACACCAGCACCAAAATTGAATAAATAAAAATAAGGCTGGGTGTGGTGGTTCACACCTTTAATCCCAATACTTGGGAGGCAGAGACAGGTGGATCTCTGTGAGATGAAGCCAGCCTGCTCTACATAGTGGGATCCAGGCCAGCTGGGGCTACAGGGAGACCCTGTCTCAAAAAGACAAAAATGAACGAATGAATAAATAAATGAATAAATAAATGGCCTGATACAGACCACAACTGCTCCATGCCATCTAGACTATGGGTAGATTTGTTATCTACCTTCCTTCTCAGGCCAGTCCTAGGAGGCATTCCTACTACCTCTTTAGCACCAGAAAGGTTAAGGAACTTGCCTAAGGTTATAGGGCTGGCAAGCAGAGCAGCCTGAATGAAACACTGGAAAAATGAAATCCATATGCACCAAATGCTACTGGACCTCCAGAACCAGTGCCACTGAACAGAGGGGCAGGACACAGCAACGTGCACCACTCTTCTTGGTCTCCATGACTCCTGTGGGGACTGGTACACAGTAGGCACCCACTTCAAAGTTTAACTGAATGAGATTCTCTTTCCCCACGAACACCAGCTGTTCTGTATCTGTAGCTGCATATCCCAGACTAAGACTGGATTGGAAAAAAACCAACTGACTTTCACCTCCTGCAGACCTGTAAGATGAATGTCAGTGACTCACTCTCCAGAGGGTTCGCTAGCCAGTGAGCACAGTCCTTAAGACACAAGCATGTGCCACTCCACAGAGTGCCAAAGAACAACACAGCTGAAAACGGCAGGTTCACAGAGGAGGAGGAACTAGTCTGCCTTTCAAGTACAGCTGAAGGAGAAAAAAATGTTACTAGGTCTTCAGCTTTGGGAATCTTTCTAGGACTTCAGGTAAGAAGTGAATCAAACAGCCCAGAAATCAATAGTGGAAAAAGTTAGCTGCTTCTTCTCGACCAAGATCACTCTGCTGTACAAACGATTAATTAAAAGCAGGGACATGGTCAGGAATAGAGAAGGAAGGCAATTAAAAGTTGTGGTACAAACTGGAGTCAGTGTGGGCTGCCTTGAAACAAGAGTTTTCACCCAACCAGAAAGCCTCTCAGGTCACTGAGGGCTTTCTCTAGCAGTAGCAGCTGTTTTGTTGGGCACACGCTGGCAGGAGACCTCCAGGTGATTAATCACAGCAGAGGTGGAATATTTTTAAAGGTGTTAAGTTAGGTCATGATGAACAACTCCAAAACAACAACAACAAAACCATTAAAAGCTATTGGGAGCCAAAAATGTATGACCATGAAAAGCAAAAAAATGAAGTAAAACAAAATGAAACACCAACAAAATCAAGCCCAAAGATGATCTCTAAAGTTGTACTAGAACTTAAAATCTGTTGCAGTGCTGGAGAGATGGCTCAGCAGTTAAGCCAACACTGGTTGTTCTTACAGAAACCCGGGTTCGAATCCCAGCACCCACGTGGCAGCTAACAACTGTCCGTAACTCCAGTCCCAGGGCATCTGACAGCCTCTTCTGACCTCCTTGGGCATTGCACGACACGGGTGCACTTACCTACAATGCAGGCAATACACGCATACACATAAAATAAATAAATAAATAAAAATAATTAAAGAATTAAAATATGCTGCTCCAGGTGAATAGTTTTTTAATGTGCTCATCAGTGAAACCTTACAGCAATACCTGTGCACATATCCCACCCCACACGTGTAGAAGAATGACTTTGGTATGAAGTAATCAATAACAATAGGGATCAAAGTATGTTTATTTTACTATCCCCCAGCTAGCTCAGTGCCTGACTCAGACCAGTTGCTTAGTAGGCATCTGCTGAATCAAGGGGCAAACGGACTGACACTTGGAGAAAACGGGTACTCTGTGGTCTCTCACAGCACTGAAAGGTGTGATACAGGCTTCATGTTACCTGCCATCACACATGTTAGAGTCTGGTGTTATTAACTTCTGCAGCAGTGCTTCTCAAAATGGTCCACAGACACAGACACCAAGGTGACTATGCACTGAGGGACTCATTAAAGGCAGATTCCCAGGCCCCACCAGAACCTAAGAACTGGAGGTACACACCTTAACGAGCACTGCAGGTCATTCATTTCCTTGTAGTCACACCACTGAACACCATTGTTCTTGAGACTAAGAGCCACCCCTGAAATTCAGGAAACTACTTCCATGAGGGGGGTAGTACCCACCTGAAAACTCGCCTCATGGTTTAAGACTATGGCCACAGCAAACCATCTCACAGGTCAGAGCCTGTAGCACTAGGCTACCACAAGGCACTCAAAGAAAAGAGGATGCAGAGGCTGATCAGGCCTACAGACACTACACACTTATAAACACAGGCAGCAGTTGCTACCTACTGAGTTACTGCCATATGCCTGACATTTCATAGTGAATTTCATGTAAGTAATCCTAATTAATTCATGATGACCCTATGAGGTGCTGATAACACTCCCATCTTACAAAGAAACTTAAGCGTCATTAAGAATAAGTTGCTCATGGTTACAAAGTCAGTATGTGAAAAAGTCAAGTAAAGAAACAGCTATTCAACAGAACACTACTCAGCAGTAAGGAGGAGGAACATACAACAGCATGGATGGATCTCAACAAAATAAGTGAAAGAAATCAGGAAAGGAAGAACAGTACTCCGTTTAGGCAATACTCCAGAAAATGCAAAGTAATCTAAACTGACAGAAAGTCAATCAGTGATTACCTAGCGCCTGGCCTACATGGGGTTGCAGAAGAGAATGTGGGGTCAGGAAAAATGGCAATAATTAAAGGTTTCTGAACATGCAACAAGAAAAATTTTAATTTAAAATCAGATGCAGAATGATTCTGAGGTCTTCTGGACAGCGTTTGCCTGGGCTGGCAGTGAGACTGTGCCTTGGCCTTGGTTTTGCACTGCCGCCTGAAACAGCTCAGCTTAGAGCCAAGGCCATTGTACGTTATGAACTGCAGTGTTTTTACAGTGCATGCAGAGTTTTCTGTCCTTATAGAAACATGGTTTATGAAAGATAAAGGCTTATAGTATTTTTTTACCATCATTTCTCAGCGTATAAGTGTCAAATTAGTGTATCAAGTTAGTGTTGGAATGCTTGATTTTAAAAATTGCCTTTTAATAAAAAGGAAATGTTAACTAAATTTTGGTTTGGACAGAATTTTTAATGCTATATGAAACGGCCATAAACATATTTCTGCCATTTGGGGCAGGATTCTCTGCATTAATGTCTGTAAAATCAAAATATTCAACTCTGAAAAAGTGTAAGATTCTCTTTATATCTTGCAGTATCAAATATTCAGCCAAGATTTAATTCTTTACATAAAATAGACAACTACATCTGTCATTAATACACACATTTGCTTCTGTCTTTAATAAATGATTATATGTACACCAAAAATTATTGTAAAATGAATTTCTTTGTGATTTATTAGCAGTAATATACCTATTTTATATGCCTGTGTACTGGAGGTCACATAAAAATTTCTCAAACAAAGAGGGTTGTAAGTGGAAAAAAAATGTATGCAGTCCTGACTTAAGGGATGGTGAAGAAAGGGATGGATTACCAAATGCCATGAAGAAACTTAGGGTGATGGATGCCCACCTCGACTGTGATGATTCAGGACATAAATTAAAACTGATCAAGTTGTATACTGTATTACATACATAGCGTGCTGATTGGCACACATACCTCTATAAAACTGTAAAAGGAATTAGACAGAAAAAGAACCTGATAAATTAGCTAATAATTAATTTGTTTTGCAGTGCTGGGGATCAAATCCAAGGGCTTGTGCTTACTAGGCCAGAGAGCTCTACCAGTGAGCCATATCTCCAGCCCTAGCATTTAATTTAATCATATGTTCTTAAGGTGTTTGTTCCCTTTTTCCTTCTGAAGTTGAAAGATGTATTTTGGACCACAACACAGTTTTAAAAGCCACCAAGTGATTTTTAAAGCTGATACTCTGACCTCTAAAACTGAGGAAGAAATAACATAAGCCTATAATGATCACCAACAGTGAATCTGAGCTCTTCTTAAGTACTGTTAAAGTTACTGGGAAAGATTAGAACAAGAACTAGAAAGAAAGAAAAAAAGGGGGGGTAAAAAAAAGTGACCCACGTTCAAGGGATATTTCTGTGCCAGACACTTTTAGGCACCAATGGTATAACAAAGACAAAGACACCAAATACAGAGATGATGTTACTAATGTGAGCACTGCTGATCTAAGGAATGATCCCAAGGGCCAGTAGAGAGGAAGCCCTAGGGGAGAAGACAAGGAGGTATGTCTGAAGCTATCAAGGTAACAAACTAAAGACAGAAATGACTGATTAAGTCAGTAAGAGAACATGCAAGTGCAAAAACATAAAACCAAAGTGTCATTCAGCACAACTGCACAAAGAGCAGCAGGGATTTATGACTGGAAACCTCTCAAGAGCTATCAGGCTGACCCAGCATCCTAAAAAGCATCTCTCTCAAGGCAACAATTTATGGTCACAGCCAACTGTCTACTCATATGGTTAAAATCAACAGTAAATCTTGAATTTGTTTTCTAAAAGTGCTACAATGAATCAGGAAACACTGAAACGTTGAAGGCACTGACTGAATTAACAGATCCTACTGACACTAAATTGTCTACAGCAACAGAGCACCCGCGTTCTACTCATATCCCATCAGATGGGCAAGGCTGCTGGGGGGCTTCGCTGCTGGAGCCCACAGCAGAGGGAAGAAGGGCTGACGGAGAGAAGCAGGTGGGATCTCAGTGCCTGTGGTGTGAGTCCTGCAGGGTTAGGTGCGCGGAGCACAGGTGGGGATGGGTCTCAACTGTGTTAGTGCAAAACAGAAAAAAGGGCAGTGAAGAAACAGCAGGACAACCATCTGGCAGTTTCTGTCAGATGATCCTAAATGTATTTACAAATAAGTGTCATTCTTCACCCTGCTGGGAGGCAGGAAACTCAAGTGTGTAAAGCGATAATCAGAACATGGGCTGGGGGTGTAGCTCAGTGGTGTGGAGTGCTTGCTTCTTGCTTCAGATATGTGAGGCCCTGGGCTCGACCGTCAGCACCACACAGACAAGTCAGAATCTTGGGTTTGAACTCTGGTTGAGTCTCATGTGTCCTGAGCCTTCACCAAGCTATATCACCTCCTTGTTTTCTTAGCCATAAAACAGGAAAAAAATGCCAGGATCTATAATTTACGTGAAGATTAACTGAGATAAGTATCTACCAAGCTTAGCACAGCAAGTGCTACATAAATGTTCACTGTTAGGTTTATGAATGAATCACTGTACTCCTCACTGAATACCATTTGTGTGTGAGCTTCTATTAAATTCTTTTTGTACACATTCTGCATATGTTGTCTACATTTCTTATTCGGGGTTAGAAGACTACCTTCTGCCCCCTTTTACTGTGCTTAATCTGGAAGGAATGGGGTGATCAGTAAAGTATTATGAACCGAAATTGATGATAAAGTCAGGCATTGTGGTGCACATCTGAAACCCCAGCACTTGGGAAGCTGAGGCTGGATAATGTTCAAGGGCTAGTCTGGGTTATAAAGCAAGATCACAACTCAAACAAAACAAAACTGATGAAAAACTACAACTCTCATGGTGATCAACATTTACTTCCATTTGGAGGTATGTGGCCTAGCACTTTTCCAAGACTGCCCTTCAAGGGGAAGGGAAGAAGGGTGTTTAGTGTGAGGAGAGTGAAGCCCTGGGCGTTTGTATCTCCTTAGTTCTGCCCTGTAAGGGACACTGGCTTGGAGACAAGTGACCTCCCAGGCACCTACCTCCTTCTGTGGGCCTTTAATTTCTGGACATTCTTCCAGTCTTTTCAATATGTCCTGGGTTACCACGAGTGCATCCGAGAAGACGCTTTTATTTTCTAGAAGAAAATTCAGCTGTTCCTGCTTCCTCTCATGCTCTGAACATATAACAGAATGAAACAAAGCAGGGCTTTATCACTTGAAATGACTAAACAGCCGTTTCAGCTGTGGAGAACCTGCCCACCTAGCACAGGAGGGCCCCGCAGGACCCCAGCATCCCGGCTTCCCCCTGGGTGACGAGAAGTAGGGCAGTGCTGTTTTGATACTGCTTCTCTGCTCTGTTGCTTACTCTCAATACCAAAACACCAGACACTCAGAAGACCCCAGAGGGGTACTGTATCAGACTGTCATTTCCTACCTAACGGCGGCTTCTGACAAATTTATCAATGAAACAAAGAATTTGCAGGGCATGGTGATGCACATCTGTAATCCCAGTACTTGGGAGGCTGAAGCAGCAGACTGCCCGTGAGTTAGAGGCCAACTTGGTGTACATAAGTTCTAAGCCATCTGAGGCTACATAGCAAGATCTTATCTCAAAACAACAACAACAAAACAGCATAAAAAAACAAACAAAAAACAGAACAAAATAAAAATCAAGTATAGTAACTGACAATAGAAGTACAAATTTCAATTAAACAAATTTTAATTAAATTAAATTAATATCCCACGAGTATTACCTGGTTCTGTGCTTGCCTCCTTTGCCTCACTAGGGATCTGTCCAGCAGGGGAAGGGGAACAAACTTGAGCTGTGTGAGGTGTCTCCGCTGGGGTCTCTGCACCCCCCTGAACCTCTTGGGCAGTGGGAGGATTTGCACTCATCTGTTGGGTTGCTTCCTGGGTCTCTGCTTTCTCAGGACCTCCTGGTGTGGTGGAAACTTCCAGGGTTGAGGGTACCCCTTCAGAGGAAAGGGCTTCTACAGGAAGTGTCTCTGATTTCTTGCTATCTGACTCTGAGGACAGCACAGCGATGTCCCTTACCACCTGCCCCTGGACAGAGCAGTTTACCAGATTGGTCAGAAGATTTTTACAGCTGACAGCTACATCAAACATCTGCAGGCTATCTGCTAAGGAGATGATTTTGGAGAAGTTGTGCTTGCCCACAGGGAGTTTGCCTGTGTACATCATTTCTAGCAAGAGGGCAAACTCCTCAGGGCTCACCACGGAGGCATCGATGGAGATGGTATCCGTGTTATCCAGGAGGGTTTTAAACAGGAGGCTGGCCGCAGCCAGGACAAGCTTATGAGCTCTGAAGTAGATGGTGCCAATGGAGATGGTGCAGTCACAGAACTGCTGCTCCTTGCACAGAGTGTAGAGCTGCAGCAGCAGCTGTTGGCTGTAATTCGGGAGCTCCATGGTGTCAGCTTTGTCCCTGGACTCCCTCTCTCCTTCCAGATGCTTCTTAGTGAGGATCAATCCTAGAGAGACCCACATAGGACTATGTTAAATGCATGTACACACACAGGAAAGGCCTTACACGAAATGCTGAACAAGCCAAAAAACAATTCACTCATCCATTCAACAGTGCTGCTTAAATGGGGGCGCGGGGGGGATAGAGTATGAGGGCTCCTAAGCTAACAATAATTACGGTAATCATGTAACAATTAATTACAGGAGAGGGACTTTGCTTAGTGCTTTACCAGAATGACCTCACTTGATTCTCAGGGTGACTCTGGAGAAGAGTTATCTTTTCTTCCCCATTTCACAGAGAAGCCAAGGGAAAAGCTGCTATGACATGCCCTGCCATCAGTACTCGCTGGCCTCAAAGCTATAACTGCAGTACTGCATACCACTTCTGACCCCCAGGAGTGTTGCCAACAGGGAAGAACAGACATACAAACACAGACTTAAAACACAGTGTCCCAGTTCTCAAGCTATCATAGCACTGGACAGGGGTCATCACTTCTCCCCTGTATACACCTGTTACATGCTTCCTGCTTCTCCCACTGACTCACTAGCTGGGCCTCCCCATTTCCTTTGCTGGCCTTCATCACCTCTCTAGCTCAGGCCTCCTCTGAACTTGCAGTGTGCACTGCCAGTTACCTCTTCAACGTCTCCAACTAGAAACCTAATAGGCCTCTGGAATATAATGTCTCCAAAGCCCTCTTGCCATCTTCCCCAGTTCCCAGCAATTCTACCCTGGTTACACCAAAACCCTATAGTGTATAGTCATTTCTCATACACTAGATCTAATCCTTCAAAATCTACTGGCTTGCCAGGTGTGGTGACATATACCTCTAGACTCAGTACTCATGAGGCAGAGGCAGGCAGATCTCAGTGAGATGGAGGCCAGCCTGGTCTACATAGTGAGTTCCAGGCCAGTTGGGGCTACAGGGAGACCCTGTCTCAGAAAAAAAAAAAAAAAAAAAAAAGGCTGGGGAGGGTTGGAGAGATGGCTCAACAGGTTAAGAACACTTACTATTCTTCCAGAGGTTTCCTGCACCCACACTGCAGCTAACAATTGTCTGTACCTCCAGTTCTAAGGGATTTAACACCCTCTTCTAGCCTCTGAGGGCACTGCACAACACAGGTGCACTTACATATATGCAGACAAAACATTCATATTCATAAAAAAATAAAAAATAAATAAAATTAAAAAACTTAACAAAAACAAAAAATCCTACTGGCTCTGCCTTCAGTACATTCCACATCCCAGCACCTCTCATGTCTATATGACCAATTCTGGTCAGTTTAAGCCATCATCACCACCTAACCAGATCTCTGCAATCATCTCGTAGCCAGTCTCCATTCCTCTGCCCTAGGCTAGTACTATCTCTGCATGCCCTATCTTCTGTGCAAGCCACACAGTCAGAACCTGAAATTTCTTTGTACAAATACCTTAAATGGCTTCCAGTGTCAGATCAAAGTCAAAGTTTTTACAATAAACTGCACAGCCCTTTGTGATCCAGCTGCACTGGCTCCCCTGACCTCATCTACACTCTGCTCCTCAGGCCCTTAATTTTAAGTGCACTGCTTTCCTTCTTGACCTAGAAGCACACTCAGCACACCAGTCACAGGGCTTCCTTCTATCTACGCGGGCTAGCTCTCTCACCTCCAGAAGCTCTCCGCTCAAAGACCACACAGGTGGAGCATGCCTCATTCAAATGCTCCAAAATCAGAAACTTTTTCATTCTTTCTTTCCTTTTTTGTTTTATAAGACAGTTTCTTTATGTAGCCCAGGCTGGCCTGGAACTCATAGTCCTCTTGACTGTACCTCCCAAATTATAGGGATCATAAGCATGTGCCATTCCTGGCTAAAAATCAGAAGGGCATCAACATGATATCACAAATGAAAAATCCCTCAACCAAACTCAGGTGACAGATTAAACAGTCAAAATACTCAAGGTACTAAACACAACTGTGTAAAATGACCTTCAGGCTAGGTGAATAAGAAGCAAAACTGAATTTTGTGTATAGACTTGGGCCCCAGCCTCAAGTCAATGCATTATAAGTATCCAAAAATCCAAAATATCCTAAATATTTCTGGTTCAGAACATTTCCAGGAAAGAACACAGTCTTTCCCAGCAAGGCCTCCTCGGATAGTCACCGTCCCCATCTCGCTCTGCTCCGCTTTTCACCTGTTATCATCGCCCACTGATGTGCTGTACTTCAGTTGTCCCTCATCCGTCTCCCCTGACTAAAACATAAACTTTGTTAGCAGTATCTTTGTGCTTAAAATGCTGCCCAGTATGCACCCTGCTGGTGACCAGGTAGTCTGAAGCACCAGCTGGGGTTAGTATAATCACAAGGATTTGCACAACACGGTTTGGGACAGGGGAGTCCTGGCACTGGAGTAAAAGTAGGAGGAAGAGGTAACAGCTGATTCGCATCATGCGCACCACTTGTGCATGCATGCGCATGAGTACGTTTGTGTGTATATGCTTTATGTGCACATTCATGCGTATGTGCTGGTGTGCATGTGCCACAGCACATGTGGCAGTCAGGGGACAGCTTTGAGTGTCAGTCCCCCCATCACTCCTCCTTTGAAACAGGGTCTCTTGGTTGTTTTTCTGCTGTATGTCAGGCTAGCTGGCCTGTAGGCTTCCATCTCCCCACAGAAGCAATGAAATTATAGACATGTCATGTATCCAGCTTTTACATGGGTTCTCCAGATTCAAACTCAGGTCCTCATGTTTACACACTAAGCCATCTCCCCACCTCCCTGATCTGCACCCCCTTCCCCTCCCCTACACTCTCTCACCCTCCCTCCCCCTCTCTCCTCCCCCTCTCTGGTTTTTGAAACCAGCTGGCCTGGAACTTGACCAGGCTGGCCTCATTCTCACAGAGATCCTCCTGCCTCTGCCTCCCAAGTGGTTGGATTAAAAGTGGGTGCCACTACGCCCTGACCTGCATTTTAAAAGATGCACAAATCCTGAGAAGGTGAGAAAGGTGGGAAGCAAAGACCTGTGGGCAGGGAAGCCTGCAGGAAGCACACGGGGAGCAGGAGGCATGCAGCTAAGAAAGCATCCTGTCAATTGAGGAGGAGGGTGGAGGTGGGGAGGGAGTTTATAAAGAGATCAAAGATGCTAGAATATAAAGCAGGGGCTGAGAGAGTCTCGAGGGGATTTGTGTACAGAGAGATGTGTAAGTAGTCACTGAAGGCAAAGGGAAGCCACTGAAGGGATTTACAGTAGAAAACCACATGGCCAGATATACATTTCATATATGTCACTTCAGTACAGTAGTATTTCTATGGAATTTAACAAGGACAATTGTCAAGGTAGGCTCTATTACCACAGATCTGGAGTCAATCCATGAGGGCTTCCACCAGGGGTGGACACAGAGAGAGGGAGAGTCAAAATGACTTAGAAGGAGTAACTTTAACTATTTAGGAACTAAAGGAATGTGATGGAGAGAGGCAATACCCCAGGTTCTGGAGGTAGTGAGTCACTGACAGGATGATGCAAATGACTGGGGGGAGACAGGTTAAGAGAGGACAGTTCAGGCACAGATCCTATGGTGATGACAAAATTGTAGCATTTCCATCATATAAAGAAAAGCATGCATTAAGGGTGGAGAGAAATAGTAGCTGTCCTTGTTAAAGATTACAGCTGATTCTCTTCCTACCTGCCAATATTTTGACATTTTCTGACACCTGAAACAGACACATGAAAATAGAAATAAACATATCTCAGAGCTCTGGCTTCCAGTGTGCATGTAAAGGGCTCAGAAGTTGCCACTGTCCTTAACAATAATTTAAAAGCTGAACATGAACAAGTCTTCTTTGACTCATTAGAGAGATCATCATCTAAGATGGGTGACAGGCAGAAGTAAAGAATCACGACCAACAGAAGCCCAGGTAAAAAAGCCTCCATGGAACAAGAGCAGGTTGGGAAAACTTGAGCCTGACTGATGAAGGCCGAGTGCCCATAACTGAGAGTCGAGCATCCAGGGTCCCCAGTCACAGGGTGTCCCTCACACTTTCATGAGAAAGCTCTTCCTGGACCTCTACCAGGTCCTCATAGTGAGCATCTGAGAAAAATCCCTGCTTACTGTGTTTCCAGCAGTGGAAGAAAAGGGAACCATTTTGGAGCATGGCAGAGCATTTTGTTTTCAATAAGGCCTGGCCTGAAGAGAAACCATTTACCAGAGCCCACCTGCTGGGGTTTCATGAGAACCTTCTACTTGGGAAAAGGGAATGCTCCTGAGAACATAGAAGATTCCACTCCCTTCACTCCTCACCACCACTTCTCAACAGACCCATCTGCAAGCCAGGGGTGGTTATGCTCTCCTAAAATCTCAGCTCTAAGGGGCAGGGGTGCACTGATACAGGAGAATCATGGGTTCAAGACCAGCCTAACTACACAGTGAATTCGGGCCAGCCTGGCCTACACAGCAAGACCCTGTCTCAAAGATTTCGAAGAACCAAAACAAATAAACAAGACCCATTAAGCTGGTTCATGCATGTAATGCTAGCACTTGGCAATGTAAGGCAGGAGTTCGAGGTTAGCCTGGGTTACATAATAAATCCCAGGCCAGCCTAAACTACAAAGTAAGACCCTATCTCAAAAAGCAAACAAGAGCAACAAACAGGGCTAGGGAGATGGCTCAGTGGGTAAAGTACTTGCTGTGCAGGCATGAAGACCTGAGTTTTAATTCCCTAGCACCTATGTATGATGAATATGATGCCAGCTTTGATGGCATGAGTCCATAACACCACTGCTGTAAGGACAGAGAAAGATCCCTAGCCTTGCTGGCCAATCAGTCTAGCCCCAAACTGAGAGCTCCAGGTTAAATGAGAGATCCCATCTCAAAAGCATATGGGGGGGGTATGAAGCGGGGGGGGGGGGGGGTGTTCTGCAAAGCTCAGAGGACTCTGAGGTTCTTAAATTATTCCTAAGTATCTACAATGGCAGGCACATCATTATTTATTTGTGAAAACCCACACATGCCCAGCATGAACAGTTAACTCTGATGG